ACAACAATGATGTTATACATGCAAATGTGAGGCTGATGGCTATCAAGTCCAAACTTTGGCAAGAGCAACGAGAGGATGATGATGAAGAGGATTGGGGGTGATGGTTTTGATGGTTATTCATCAGAAGAGGCTGATCATGATAGTGAAGGTGAGGAGATTGATTCCTTAGCAATGATAAAATCTGATCGAATGCCAGCAGCAAGTCCAAAGAGCTATTTGAACCTCAATGCTCCTGTATTCATTCCCAGAACTTCTTCAACTCCTGCCATTCAAAATGCAGTAGATGGAACGCCTATAACTACTGTGCAGCAGCATCAAATTAATCCAAACACCTCAAATACTAATTCTACTAGTGATCGAACAACAACAACAACATCAAAAACTTAGCAGCTCCAAGTTGTGACAACCAGTACTCCTGCAACAACACCTGCAAGGCAAGTTATTCCAGCTGCTACTCATATAGGTGATCGAGAAGTCACAACAGTAAATTCTGGACAGAACCAAATTGTTACAACCATCCCAGCTATTTCAGTGGAGGAGAGAAAGCTCTTGGATGCAATGGTGAGTTCTAATTCCTTAAATCCTGTAAATCCTACTGCTTTTAGCACTAGTCCTGTGAGTAAGAGCAGGAACAAATTGGAAAAGATCGAACAACATCAAAGCAAGACAATGGTGACACATACACAAGGACAATCTGCATTTGTAACACTTGATATCGTCCAAAATATTCCACAACCAGTGCACTTGGGGAGAGACTTGTATAAATAAGGAGAGGAAGATGCAATGTTACAACAGTGTAGAGCAGAGGCAGCAAGAAAAGGTGATTTATCACCTATGCATAGCGGAAAAAGTAAGAAGTCTCGTACAAGGGATAAAAGTTGGGATGGTAGGGTACATGAAGACGCAAACATAAGGAAACTCCCAATGAGAATTGCAAAACAAAAACAAGCCATTCAAACACATCCACAAAGTCCAATCGTTCAAAGAAAAAAGCCTGAATTTTGAAGACATCTTGAAAAGGGATGATGAAGAAGATAAGCGTCTACAAGTTGAAGACTTCACAAAATTAGAGAAGAGAGGACATCACTGTTACTTCTACATATTCTTATTCTACCATCACATTAGCATTGTTTTATGTAATATCATCACATAGTATGTTATAAACTCTGTGATGATTATAGAATATCTAGTGTTAGCTAGTTCTTTCTTTTTACATGCTTGTTAGTAGGATAGGCTTTTTATTTGCCTCAATAAGATTAGTAAGGTAAAGTTTATCCCAGTTTATGTTGCTCTAGTCCTATGCTTTTGGAAAGATATCCAAATGGGTATGAGATTATATGCCCTCGTGAGACTTTGCCTGCTGTTACACCATGATTCCTCTACATGAGGCTGTCATAAGGGCATTGTGAGAAGCAAAGAAGTGATTATATGACCAAGGCATATAGGCAACAATACTGGTGCTATTGTCCCCCTTATTTGTACTCTCCTATGTGGTTCTTTTTTCCTTTATTATTAATAAAACTAGCCCAAGGCACCTGCCTAGTGGATTTTCTTAAAAAAAAGAAAGAAAATGATTGTGATTTTTGTAACTAAATCACTATGAACTAATAAGCAAGCAAGAAAATAAGATCGCAAGTAAAGCAAACAAACAGTTAGAAAGAATTCAATGAGGTGGAGATATTCCAAGGTTATGGGATTAACGTCTCTCCTATTGCGTTTTTCTGTTTGATGTAATCACTTGGCTTATATAATCGGTTGATTAGCAGGGTTTATTATGCTCGCGAAGTTCTTTCGACTCTTCACTCGCCTATTCAATCCAACCTAAGACTATATGTCTATAGAATCAAACTTGACAAGAACTCATGTATATTTCCTGCAAAAATAACCAAGTAAGGCAACTAAAATATATCTATCCTACTCACGAATCTATACTTCGATGCTTGGATTTAGGAACTTACTCTATCCAATCTTACATGCAATCTATAGTTCCCATGTTCGAGTTTAACTATAAATTCGTAGATAAACTCTAATGTTAGCTATCCAATAGCATAATTAAGTGCAAGATTAAATAAATAAATTAATATGATAAAATCAAGCAAAACAATCAACCGTCAAATTACAATAACCAAGAACGACCCATAACCCCATAATAATGAGGTTTTTAGCCACTCATGTTCACCATAATAATAAAAATAGTGTGTTTTAAACATAAAAGCTACGAATACTAGATGAGGGATGGAAGAATTGATGAATTCCGTGCTCCCGAATGTTCGATGCTTGTGTTAAAAGTGGCGTCTCCCCCTTCAAAATTGGTTTAGACTTGCTATTATACAAGTTGGGGGTGTCTTGGGTCGAAAAAACCTTGTTCCCGGTGAAGTAGGACATCTTCCCATCACCCAGCGCCTAGGGTAGCGTGGGGTGCTAGCTCTGGCGCTAGGAATTTTGGCACTTCTGGAAACTGCACCACAGTTAGCGCCCCACGCTACCCTAGGCGCTACACTGTCCAAAATTTTCACTTTGTTCCCTTTTTACTTCATAACGTGCACTTTTATCCCACATTGTCTCCGGGTGACTCCTACACATAAAAATACCATGAATTAGCATAAATTATTACATTACACATCCGAAATCTACGAAACATTAGTAAAATTCAAGGAAATATGCATATAAATATACATACTTTAAGCCGAATATCAACACCCCACACTTAAACCCTTGCTCGCCCTCGAGCAATGGAAATCTCAACTACACCCTAACAATGTACACATCAACTATGGAGGAGCAATTCAATTTTTCAATCATACACTTTACCTTTGAGTATGGTCGATACCGACAATAAAGCATCAACATACAAATTTCACATTCCTCTGGCTTTAAACATGACCAAGTATATACAATGCATCAACCAATTCAAACAAACTATCCGCAAACACCCTACCTCAGGAGTCGACTCATTACCACTAAGCACCCTCAACTTGCGCACTTACCCCACAAGAGAAGTTTAAAATATTACCAATCCGTCATGAGATCAAGTGCCCTCACCAACCAACGAGAGAGTGAATATAGAAATACTCCACACGTTCAAGTATAACTCTGAACATAAATTAAGAACATCACACAATTGAACAAAAGTCGCTCACTCTCACAAAGAATTCAAGTGCATCCCCGTGATCGTACCATAAGCTTGCCGGTAGTGTACATCTCTATTAATCTAAGCTAGACAAATCTAGGATCAATTAGGACTTTATGGGTTATAATTAGGCTAAGGGACAAGTAGGATACATTTAGGAATAGTGACTAATCCTCCTAAGTACTTTAATTCACTACACTCAAGAATTGAGCTTGTTTTCTTCTCAACCAACTCACTCGCCACAAACCATACACAATATAGTCCTTTCTTCAATTAAGCACTTCTATGTTCCCACTAGCATAAATTAGTGAGATTAGGAGATGTGTATTTCTCTTCTTTTTGACTATCAACATTATTTGTCTATATTTTTTTTCTTTCTCTTGCAATTTTGTTTTCTCTCTCTTTTTTTCTACACACACTCCATACATTAAGGTTCATCAGCTAATGGTATTTTTCACAACTTTAGTGCACCTTACAGGCCCTTCCATAGTTCCACTCGAAAGCTACTTCCCAAATCTCTCACATTAGTTCTTTTAGCAACTAAGTGCCTTAGGAGGTACAAGTTCAACAAGCTCAAGTTACAAATGGAATCGGGATATAGCTTTAATGTAGGTGCCAAGAAAAAAGGTCTATAGGCTCAAAGGGTCTAGCAATGGGAAAATTTTATTTGTAAGTGACAAACACATCTATGATCAATCAAAGAACTGCATATGTCATCTCCTAGACTAGCTGAACTTAATTATTTTGCTTCGAATAACACACAGGGTAAGTTTTAGACTACATATGATAGCAAAGAATATCACGAATCTTTACACATACATTGCACATGACTCGATCAAGACAGTTTTGTTCAACTCTCAAGTCGAGCAAGCACATATTTGAGAAATTTTAAGCAATATTTCACTAGGTGACTTACAAGTCAAACAACCAAGAAAATGCATCACGGAGTAGGCTATTTATATTACTTAGGCATCACATTTCGAATCAAATATAATAGGAAGACAGAGCGCACGCCATAGCCTAATGTGCCAACACTAAACATGTCAGCAAGTACCTTGAGCACTCTGTTTTCTTCCTATCCTACTCCTAAAAAGATAAAACCAAAATACCTGGTTCAAGCTTCACCCTTGGAAAAGAACCGACATCAAATAAAAAATAAGGGATACTGCCTAACTATCCCAAAAAAAACAAAAGAAAATATTTTTGGTGTTTTTAATCAGACTTTAATCCATCAAGAAAACGTCCAAGACATCCATCATCGGGAAAAGTTCGTGGTTTTTTTTATTTGTAATAAACTAGACTATGTATACTACGAGTTCTAAAAGAAAAATTAGACTATGTCTACAACGAGTTCTAAAAGAAAAACTAATAAAGAATGGTTTTATACAATTACAATTCAGAAAGTAGTTCCTTCACCCCACACTTATATTATGCATAGTCCTCGATGCATGGATTACAGAGAAAGATATTAAAACAAGGATGAGAAATACTCCATGAGAACCTCTAGGGCCTAGCTAGCAATATGATACTCAATATTAAGGGTCGGGCAACTCCACACTTAAGCTTAAACATGCTCCGATGGCTTCAACTTTGGGTACTCAGACTTCCCCAAGTCTGCAAAATAAAAACAAACGAAACATAAAACTAAAAAAAATAAAATAAAAATAAATTAAATACATGATGGGTTGCATCCCAACAAGCGCCTTATTTATAGTTGTGGCAAGACTGTGCTATTCTTCTCAGGCTGGGAGCTTTCGTTTCCTCCTCTTTCCATGGAGTTTTGCCTTCTTGCACGCTTTAGGAGGATCTCCTATTTCTTCTCTGAGCCTTTACTCTTTTCCTTTACACATTTAGCTTGCAACATCACTTCTTATAACTCAATTTTCTTTTCCATGCCAGTAGGCTCCACATAAGGACCTTGCTGTATCAACTTTGATTCTAACACATGGATCATGCACAAATCCTCATAATGCTTTGGATGGTTAAGCGCATTGTACATATTAAATGTGATTTCTTCATCATGCACTCTCATCTTTAGTTTGCCATCCCTCACATTATTAAGTGCTCCACCGATAGCCTGGAATAGCACCCCAAAATAATTGGAACCTCCTCATCGGCCATGTAGTCAAGAATAACGAAATCCGCAGGAAAGATGAACTTCCCCACTCGCACCAGCACATCTTCAATCATTCCTTCAGGTACTGCTAATGACCGATCCGCTAGCTGTAGATTTATAGTAGTAGACTTGGGGGCTCCAAGATTGAGCTGCTTGAACACTGATAGTGACATCAAATTAATGCTCGCTCCCAGATAGCACAAGGCACTACCAACCTCGTGTTTTCCAATTGCCAAGGGAATTGTAAAATAACTTGGATCCTTCAACTTAGGCGGGAACTTACTTTGTACTTTAGCACTGCACATCTCAGTAAGTGAAACCATTTCAAAACCTGTCAATATTCTTTTATTGGCCATGATGTCTCCAAGTACTCGGCATATTTAGGAACTTCTTGCAACGCTTCTATCCAAGGTAGATTCACCTACACCTGGCTCGAGATATCTAAGAAACCTTTATACTTGGACTCATCCTTCGACTTTTGCAACCTTTGAGGAAAAAGCGGTGGTGGCCTTACCTCTATCTCCTTCCTATGTTTATCATCTTTCTTTTCAGCTTCTAATTCTAGTTGAGGTACCAATCTTTCAAAAACATCTTTAGAAACATACCTTTTATGTGGCACCTCCTCAAATACTTTCTCACTTCTTAGATTAATTGCTTGCACTTATTTAATGGGATTCGTCTTAGTATCACTTTGGAATGCCCCATTAGGTCTAGCATTCTGAGTGGAGGCGACTTGCCCACCTTGCCTTTCAAAATTATTGAATTATGTCCGAAGTTGCTGATTATCAAGACAAAATTGTTGATTATCAAGCAAAATCTTCGTTAATAACTCAGTAGTAGTACCCTCTACCTGTTTTGGTGGAGTCTATGGTACGTTGAAATTTCCTTGAGGTATGTTATTACTCTGATTACCGCCCCAAGAGAAGTTGGGATTATTTCTTCAGTTTGGATTGTAAGTGTTTCCATTACTGAGTATTCTGGTTCGTCGGACCCCTGTTGTGCTGCCCCTACATAATAAATGGATTCAGGATTTAATGGACAATGGTTACTCATGTGTCTTTCTCCATATATCACACAACATGTAGACATTTGTTGCACCTACTGAATCTGCTGTGCTTATTGCATCGTCATCTTATTTACCTGATTGGCTAGCTTTGCTTTATTTATTCTCCTGGCCGAGAAATCAACAAGCTCAATAATACATACTACCTTCTGTTTAAGTGCTCTCCATGGTTCCCCGTCTCCTTGCCAATTGTTATCTTTAGCCATGAAATGGTTTAGCAGGATTTGGATTTTAGTGTACGGGCTAGCCATGCAACTACATCCATAGGCCGAATCAAATATTCATCTTGGATGCTTCACCTAACCCATCAACAAAAGTATGACCCAGGACTTCATCAGTCTAGCAGTGATGTGGCCAATCTCTGAGTAGCTTTTTATATCTCTCCCAAGCTTGATGTAGAGTCTCGCCATCTTTTTATAGAAACCCCAAATTTTGGCTTCTAAGTGACTTTGTTTTCTTTGTAGGAAAGAATTTGATAAGGAATTTTTGTGCTAGATCATCCCATGTTCGGATTGATTTTGCTAGCTCTTTGTTCAACCACTCCTTTGCTTCCCCCAACAGAGAAAAGGGAAACAAGGACAGCCTGACATAGTCCTTGGGGACGTTCAGATAGTTGTATGTATCCGTAATCTCTAAAATATTCTATATGTGCCTTTGTGGATCTTCACTCGGTAAATCCACAAATTTCCATCAGTTGCACCATGTACGTTTCAGCTCAAAGTGCCCATTTATGCCAGGCTTTACGATAGCCTAAGTCATGTTCGCAAGACTAGGCCTTGCAGCCTCAATCACCGGTCTCTCTTCATTTTCTTCCATCTTGATTGGCTATGGTTGGACTAAAATGCCCAACTCTGCAATTTTTGCACTTGTTTATGCCTCCCTCCTTAACCTGTGGAAGAGTCTTTCGGGTTCAGGATCAAAAAGGTGGAAGAATGTTCAAACCGTTACTTCTTCTTAGCATTCAATGTGAACACATGTAGAGTCAGAACAACAAAACAACCTAAATCTCAAACAAAAATAAATAAAAGCTTATTTCAGACAAGTAGCTTCTTTCTAAATACCCGACAACAGTGCCAAAAACTTGTTGGGTCCAAACACACACGCAAGTATACGCAGTCGTCAAGTAATAAAGTGATAAGAAAGTATCGTTCTCACGAGGATTTATGATCAACTATTGCCTAATCTAAACTATTTATAAATTTAATGCTCAAGTGAGTGTAAATAAAATGATTGTGATTTTAGTAAATAAATTACTACGAACTAATAAGCAAGAAAGAAAATAAGATCGCAAGTAAACCAAACAAACACTTCGAAAGAATTCAATGAGATGAAGATATTCCAGGGCTATGCGATTGACATCTCTCCTATTGTGTTTTTCCTATTAATGTAATCACTTGACTTATCTAATATGTTGATTAGCAGGGTTTATTGTGCTCGAGAAGTTCTTTCGACGCTTCGCTAACATATTCAAGACAACCTAAGACTATATGTCTATATAATCAAACTTGACAAAAACGCATATATATATTTCCTGCAAAAATAACCAAGGCAACTAGAATATGTCTATCATAATCACGAATCTATACTCCGCTGCCCGAATTCAGGAACTTAGTCTATCCAATCTTATATGCAATCTATAGTTTCCACTTTCGAGTTCAACTATAAATTCGTAGATTCTATTGTTAGCTACACAATAGAATAATTAAGTGCAAGATTGAATAAATAATTTAATATGATTAAATCAGGCAAAATAATCTACCGTCAAATTACAATAACCAAGAACGACCCATAACCTCAGAATAATGAGGCTCTTAGCCACTAAAGTTCAGCACAATAATCAAAATATTGTATTTAAACATAAAAGCTACGAATACTAGATAAAGGATGGAAGAATTGGTGAATTCTGTGCTCTCGAGTGTTCCGTATTTGTGTTTTTCTCTCAAAGTGGCGTCTCCCCTCCAAAATAGGTTCAGACTTGCTTATATATGAGTTGGGGGCGTCTTGGGTTGAAATAATCTTGTCACAAGCAAAGTAGGACAACTTCCTACCCAGCACCCACGGTGGCGTGGGGTGCTAGCCTTGGCGCTGGGAATTTTGGCACTTTTGGAAACTGCACCACATGTAGTGCCCCACGCTACCCTCGGCACTGCACTATCCAAAAATTTCACTTTTTTCCCTCTTTGCTTCAAATCGTGCACTTTCGTGCCACATTACCTTCGGATGACTCTTACATATAAAAATACCATGAATTAGCACAAGTTATTACATTACACATTTAAAATCTACGAAACATATGTAAAATGCAAGGCAATATACATATAAATTTATACATGCATATAAATATACACATGTATAAATTTGCTTTGCTAGAAGAAGGTGAAATAGAACAAGTAAAAAAAATCAAAATGGAGGCAGTTTTGAATGTACTACACAAGGAGAATGCTGATGCAAACAAGGAAAGTGATGTAAATCCATCACCTATTGGGAAAACTACTCCAAGAAAGAGTGGGATACATAATGTGGCTAAAGAAAAAATACCTAATCCCATCTTAACTAGGACTGGAGAGGACAATAAGAAGGAGTCCACAATAGAATGGGTACATAGGAGATTTGGCACGAGTAAAGAAGAGTTGAGGAGCTCAATGACATAGTGAATCACTTTTGTCAAGAAATTCCCTCTCAAACACTTGAAGAATCTTTATATAATGTTGCAAATAATAAAGTTAATTCTAGCAGTGCTTTATGGAGTGATGAGGTTGGGTCTATGGAGATTGAAGCAGATAAACATAAGGCTCGAAGCCAGGACCAAAAGAATGGAGAAGATAACCAAACAGTTTACCAATGTAGACCTCTACAGTAAACCCTAATCAACTTCAAACTAGGGTTGATGATGAGTTGAGAAGTACGATGAGTTAAGGGAAGATGGGGACATCAATTTCTCCACAATTACGCACCAAGAAAGGTCCAAGTAGTGCAGCACCTCGACAATTCACAAGTTTGAAGGAATCAATGGAACAATAAACCCTAATATTTCTGCTAGGGTTCATTATGTAGCTGGGGATGATGCAGTAGATGTAGGTGATGTTAGTATGGGCAAGAATGGTCAGGAGATGGCCATTGTTAATACAGTGGTTTCAGGCAAGCATTCTACTATAGGCAAGCCATCTGGAACCAATGTAACAGTAACTTTTGCTACCAATGTAATAATAAACCCTAATGGATTGGGGCTGAGCAGATTTCTTCAAAGGGAGATGTGGTTCAAAAAACACACACAAGAGAGGATAATGATTTGGGAAACAAGGTCAATTAGTGCCTATGGGTAATGTTGAAGATCATAGTCAAATTATAGAACTTAGGAGTAATGATCCCGGGATTATGGCAGTGAAAAAATTTAGTGTCATAAGTGGTATTCTATCTAAGGACATGTTAATCAATTAGAAGAGTCAAAAGGTGCTGGGAATGATTTCCAAGAATCATGAGCCTAATCTGTTGTCAACTCAAGTGGTTGATGATGAGCAGGATGATCAGGAAAAATTAGGGGAGAACATGGATGAGGAGTCAAATGCTGTCAACTTTAAATACATAGCACAACAAAGAGATCTATCACCTTCGAGTGTTGATAGGAAGAAATCATGAACCAAACAAACAAGGAAATCGAAGGTGAAATCAATACCTGTAAGGGTAACAAAGAGGAGCGAGGTCTCTTTTTTACAAATAATATTTATGGATAATGTACTAGTTTGGAATGTGAGGTCAATTAATACTCAAAAATCTTTCTAGAGGTTGACTAACCTTCATAGGAAGTACAATTTCTACATGATTGGTCTTATGGAGCCTTGGTAAGACATCAACAAATTGGAAGTATATAGGAGGAAATTGGGATTACATATTGCCTTAACTAATCTTAATAGGAAGATCTGGGCTTTTATTAATGAAGACATTGAGGTGGAGGTCATGATGGATATGGAACAACAACTTACACTTAAGTTGTTCCATAGTGTATTGAATAAGCAGTTAATTGTAACATGCGTGTATGCAAAGTGTGATGCTATACAGAGAATTGAGCTATGGTATTCTCTATACCATTTAGCTTCTTACATAGATTTACCTTGTCTTATAGGAGGTGATTTCAATGTCATTCTTTCTGAGGAAGAAAGGTATGGAGGATTACCTGTTTATCTCAAGAAAGTTGAAGATTTTGCTCATTGTATAGATACTTGTGCTATATATAATCTTGGTTTCAAAGGAAGCTTATATACATGGTATAATGAGAGGTCGGACATTGATTGTATT